CACGAGTTTATTTTTACATCTACGGTATTAAATTTTTTGCCTCGCATTCTTACAGCAAAAGCTATAAGGTCAGCAATAACTATTTCGTTACTTTTTGCTCTTCTTAAACGTCAACATGCCCAGCATAAAACGACCTGTGGCGGCTGTTGAATTTCTTTTGGTTTGTGGCTAAACGTTGGCGTCTTTATCATCATCACCACACAAACGTGCTGCTCAACTCCTTATAAGTGCCCACAAAATTCTACTTATGACCTGATTTTCATGATCATTTCTCACTCTTGGCCGACTTTTTTCGTTTGCTTTATTTTTTATGTTTTATTTCGCCATTAAAGGTATTTGCCGACACTAAGTGGTAAGAAATTGGATTTATGGTTGTGTTGGTGGCACATTTTTCGCTCGTAAGCAGAAGTGGCTGTGCAAATAAATTTGTGGTGCGCACTTGTTGCAAGTGGAAATTGGGATTGCGCGGATGAAGATATTAAAGCAAATTGGTTATTTGTGTGTCTAAAAATATTTAAGTATTGTATCTATATAAAAACGATCCGATTGTCTGAGGCGCATATTTTTGTGTCATTTTCAAGATTTCCTTACCTCCTCAACGAATTCTTCGTAATATACATATTACCGGTTGCATTGCATCTTTTCTACTACTTAGATAAAGAATGTACACGAAAAAAACTGGTCACAGTTAAAACGTTCTAAAACATAAATATATTAATGGAATTCAACGATATTTACATATATTTACATCTAAACTTAGTTTTATTGAAATTCGTTAATTCTCCTTGTAATAAGCAAACGATCGCAATTTTGACTTTATGTCCTTCATTAGCCCTTGCACAGAAGTTTCAGTGATTTCCTTGGAAACCAGCTGCCATTTATTTTTGAATTGTTGTGCGTTTTTTACAGCTTTGTGGGTCTTAAGAAGTTTGGATTTCATAACGGCCCAGTAGGTTTCGATCGGCCGATGCTCTGGACAATTAGGTGGATTCACCTCTTTTGCTACAAAATACACTTTGTTTCTATGTTACCATCCTAAAGCCATTTTTCCGTAATGACATATCGCGAGATCAGGCCAAAAAAGCACTGGATCTTTATGAAGCCGTATAAGAGGTAAAAGTCGCTTTTGCAGACACTCCTTAACATAAATTTCTTGGTTAATTGTACCAGTGCTTACAAAAGGATCACTTTTGAAGCCGCATTGGCAAATTGCCTGCCAAATGAGAAACTTTTTGGGAAATTTGTCAAACTTTTTGTTTTTATATTTATCTGCAACATTACCTCTTTTATTTGCAGTGTGAAATTCGCGGCCCCGGATTTGTTTAAAATCGGCTTTTACGTACGATTCGTCATCCATAACAATACAGCCAAATTTTTGTATGAGACTGTCGTACAATTTCCGAGCACGTTGTTTCGCCAACAAATTTTGCTTACCGTTGCGATTAGGTGCTGCATTCACTTTGTAAGAACGTAGTCCTGCTGTTTTGCATACTTTTTGTATATACGAAGACGACATGTTTAATTTTTTGCCGACATCTCTTACCGAAAGTCCAGGATTTTTCTTAAAAGCAGATAACACTTCCTTTGCCTTAATTTCGCAAGCAAATCCTTTTTTTCTGCCACTACCACGGTTCCTTTTTAAAGATAAACATTCATTGTATTTTTTAAGCACATAAGTAACGGTAGACTTTGGAAATTTTAGCTTTTTTGCGATGTCGTTATGGAACATGCTGGGATTTTCCAGCTTTTTGCGCAATATTAACTCGCGATCGATTTCTTTCTTGGTCCTCGTTTCTACACTGATTTTTGTTACTAAAAAGAAATGATGCAGTAAGGTGGAAAATGCTTCCAGCTTTTTAAGTGTCTACCGATTTTTATTTTAATGTTATGATTAACCGAGCTATGCTTGGTTATGTGCGACCAGTTTTTTTTCGTGTACATTCTTTATGTATGTATGTAAGTAAAAGTCATTTGAGTTGGTTTATAAGACCTCATTTCTCTCAATCTCTTCTCGTGTCCATCCTTCTTATTACTGAGTACCAAGCTAATGCATAATAATTGCATATACCAAAATATATGTATGTACGTATATATGTACACAAATGCATGCAAGTTTCTTTGCTGCTACTCCACGAATTCGATTCTCATTTTTCGCTTTTATTCTCATTGTGTTTCACTTTCCACAAATACACTCGACCTTGCGTTGTCAATTTGCAAAATCGGGCAATTCAATTTTAGTTGCATTGCAGGGCCACTGGGTTTTACCTTCGGGATATGTACTATATACATATATGTATGTATATATACGCCTGAAAGTATGCTACTGCGCTTACACCATTGTGCTTCTGGCACTTCGCTTTTTCCCTTCTCTTTGTCACATATAATGCACTTGAAAGTTCAAATTGCTTTCGCGACGTTGTTGCATTACAATGTTGTTGATAAAAACTGCTTTAAAATAAATTGTAGTTACAATGATCCTTTTAGTATGAAAATAGTAGCAGTACTATTTGTGTATGTACACTAGACCATACCAGAAAATAAAAGTTCGCCATACAACTCTGAGTCTAAAGTATATTTGCAAAGCAATTTCGATGTTTTTTATTTTTCGCCATACTTTCGGCATTTACAGTCAGATTTTAAAGTATGATATATCTACGTTCTTTGCACCAAAAATCAGTGACCACAATTACCCCGTTCTAGTACATACCCGCCGTGTGACCAGATTAACCTTTTTGAGGCTATATTTAGCATTTTATTTTATGTCATAGCCTCAGAACTTAGTTCCGACTTCATGGCCGTTTTCTGGCCTATTTTTCTTAAAACATTCATAATAAAATTCGGACCGGAACTAAAAATTCTTAACACTTCAAATTTTACAATGACAGTGGAAAGCACCATTTTTTTAGAAAATACTTTCTTAGGTTTAAAAAAAATAGTACTAAGAAATTTGCTTTTAACTTTATTTTTTAACAATTTCATTTGTTGGAGTTATGAGTACTCTGATGTAGAATATACATATAGATTGGTCGAATTAATTATAGCCGCACCGCATTTTGACAAGTTTTAACATATTATGTTTGTTGTTATTTAATTTTGGTTATTTTTTACAAAAATATTGTTCATTCTTTAACAAACCTCGTGTAAATCCAAGATTCAAACTTTGTGCAATATTCTAAAAAAAAAAATCAACAAACTTTCGTAAACATTTCTGGCTTTTTTAATTAGATTTCCCAGCAAGATTCTGAGTATGCAGTTTTGTAGCCCATAGAATTCTAGTGCAAGTTTCAAATAGCTAAAAATTACGGTTGATTTTTTAGAATTTTTTTTTTTTTTTGTCGAGGATGTTACAGATTTCTTCCATATAAAAATAAATTTTGTGTATTCGTTATATGGAAGCAAATGGGACAAAAAAACTCGAAAAATCAACCGTAATTTTTAGCCATTTCAAACTTGTAATTTGTTCTACTAGAATTCAATGGGCTACAAAACTACATACTCATAATCTAGGAAATCTAATTAAAAAAGCTAGAAAATTTTACGAAAGTTTGTTGGTTTTTTTTTAGAACATTGCACAAAGTTTGAAACTTGGATTTGCACGGTCTTTATTTAGGAATGAACTATATTTTTATAAAAAAAAAAATAACCAAAATTGAATAAAAACAAAAATAATATGTTAAAACTGGTCACAAAATTTTTGCGTTTTTCTTATACTAAACAGAACTGGTTTTTGCATACGTTGATGTTATGTAGCCATTATAAGCCTTATAAGTAAATGTTATTTGCTTTGATGAGAAATATTAAAAAATTGATTTACAGAAAATCGGTTTCGCGGAACTAATCGATAAGGCGAAGAGTTTTTAACCCTTACGGGTATACCAAGATCTGGCCAGACCTGAACTAACCTTAACTCATTTTATCTTATAGAAATTATTCATCTACAAAACTAGGAATTTATGATACCCTCACCAAATATATTAAATGCGTTGATGGAAAACAAAATTTCAAAAATATATGCGTATTCCTAATTTCCTAATTTACTAAACCTATACCTCAAACGTACACCGTAGGTCTAGCCAGACTTGTCAAACTTTGAGGGCAAAATAACAACAACTATATAAATACCGCTAGTTATGCGAGCAATTCGTAAGAATTTCAAAAATTCAGCTAGTCCATATCAAAGTGCGATCAAGCGTGGTCACGAGATAAGCTGTTTTGGTTTTAGTACGTCTTTTTTTTGCAAAGTTATAAATTAGCACAATGTCGGAAAACTTTGAATACCTTTCAGCAATCATGTTGGGCCAGTAAGCTTTCCTATTTGTATTTTATATACTTATATTTATGTACATGTACAAATGGGTATTATTTATGCAGTATGCCAGAGGATCAGCGTACGTATTATTACGTGCGTCTCATAGAACATGTAAGATTTACAGATCATAAAGCGTACAGTGGTGGCGACGACGATCATGATTTTGTTTGTGATGAACATGCCCCTGACGTAGAGGATGAAAACTGTTTTGACGTGGAGAGCGATCCTGAAGAATCGGATGACGACGAACAGGGGGACGGGCAATTTAGCTTCACATAACCCAACCAATTTTTTTGTGGCTCCTAATGGTATGAGGTGAAGTAAGACTCCTATGCCATCCACCCGTGTGCGAAGCCACAGTACTCAGCGATGGCCATTGGCCCTTTTCTATAATATGCTGGATGTGGCTGCATTGGCATCTTATGTTATCAAAAATCAAATCGAAAAAAGCCAAGGGACGAATGACTTGGTGAATGGTTTAGTTCGTCGTCAAGTCGAAAATCGTATGAATAATCCCCAAGCCATCAAGATCAGCCATAGAGGCATATTTCGATGCAACTGTTATTATGTATGTAAATTCTATTAAACAAGATTTGTATAATCAGTCGCTTTCTTTGTAAAACAAGATAATAAAATAAATATATGTATGAAAACATGCAGTCAAATGCGTACAAATAATCTGCAAGTACATACATACATATGTACATGTGTATACATATAAGTTTATATGAAAAGATAAGGACTTGTAAACACTTAAGAGGAATAAAGCCGAGTCGATACTTTCGCAAGAATATTTGATTAGAAATGCAGCTAAGAAAAGTAATTTCTTAAAACATAAGTATAATATATGCCAATAATAAGAACATGCATTTTCAATTTCCGAAGGGTATATAAAGTGAAAAGTTGAGCTGTAATCCTCAGTTCAACTGTAGCTACCGTAACGAGCAGCAAAATATCAAAAATGTCAAGGAGCTTAATCATTGTAATAGTCAGCGCATGTCTGCTGGTGCAAGTACGTTGAAAATTTCTCCACAACTAAATTGTAGGGATACTAATATTTACTTTACTTTAATTTATACAGGCACAAGCCGTTCCACGCATGCGTCGTGAAGCAGGCGAGGCAGTAGTCGAAAGGAAGCAAACAACGACGGCAGTGCCCGAAAAGGCGAATTCATCCTCCTCAGAGGAGTCTCCACTGAAATTTAAGCCACGTCAGGTAGTGATGACAACAACCCTCGTCGACTTAGTTGGTTTGGCTAAATATGTTACCGAAAATGGTCGTCCACTTTTTAAGAAGGCTCTGGCCCAATTGGAAGCGCTTCCAGAAAAGAGTCCAGCGTTACAGGCGAATATTACCCGCATCGCCGACTATCTTAATACTAACTCGCACGAGCCGAATACAGCCGAAGCTGAGGGTATGTTATCTCTTTTCGATTCGCTGATTACACTCACCAGCATATTGGAGGATGCCAATGAAATACCACCCGAATTGGAGCAAGCAAAAACCGTTCAAAAAGCTTTCATCGATAACGGTGCGGATAAGTTTGAGGAGGACTTGAGAGCCGAATTGAAAGTGGTGTCGGGAAAATTCGAAAAGGCGATTGAAAAATATTTGGAAAGTTTGAATGAAGAGCAAAAGGCAAAGGAGACCAAACTGATCGATTGGTACACGAAGTTTACGAATGAGAAGGATGACGAAAAGAAGGCAGAATATTATACAAACTTTTTCGACGCTTACAAGCCATAAGAGTG